GTGATATAATATGAAAAAAAATATTACAAGGATAGAACTTCTATTAATAGAAGAACATATACATAATAATATGTAAAATTGCACGAAAGTTTATATTTTAAGTCCCTTAATATTTAATTATTTATAACAACATACGAACAATAAGTATTACCTAAAAACTGACTAAGAACTTAAAAAGTAAAAAGAGAAAAAATATATTAACAATAATATAATAATATCGTTTTAACGTTCCTTGAACGAAAATATAAAATATATATAAATATGTTAAACATATATAAAAACAACTTACGATAAACACTTATTCTATGGACGAATATCAACCGAAGCATGGACGGAATGCAATAAGGAATGCTAGAAAATATTATACACAAAATTTCAGTTCTTAAATTAAAAGTGCATGTACAGGGTGGCGCACCTTATTCGCCTCGGTTGATTATACGAAAAGGGAAAGATGTAGAAACAAAATATTTTTGTGGGTATATGTGGGGAGGCAATGTGCACAATTTAAAATTATTTTGAAATATACAGGATGTCTCAGAACGAAGATCCATACCAAAGTTATTTTTTTTTTCTTACGGAACACCTGGTATTTTATTTCATTTTTGGATTCTTGAGCCCAAAAAAGGCATTTTTGATAAGGGTTATATATATTTAAAATCTTTGGTTTTTGAGATATTTAAAGATATTTAGAATACAATCTGTAAAGATGTCGATGTGTTAAACAGCTTTCATACAGGAAGTGACCACAGACTAGTACGCGTCAAAATACAAATCTATACTAATATAGAAAGGAGAAAATTAATTACCAGATCAATGTTTCCTATAAGGGACGATCTGCAACTAAATCAGGAAACCTACCAAAAAGAGCTTGAAAAGAGACTAAAGCCACAGACACTCAGAGATCAAGACCCCAACGACATTCTCAATAATCTAAAGCAGGGCATAACTACAGCAACAAAGAAAATATGTAATAAAATGAAACACCCTTCGGAAACTAAATTAAAACCAGAAACGACAAAACTAATAAGGGAAAGAAGAAAGACTGACAGAGATGCCCCAGAATATGACACCTTAAATAAAACAACTAAAAGAGAAATAAGAAAAGATCTAAGGGAGTATAAGAGAAACCAAATTTTGGAAACAATTGAAAACAATAGAAGCATGAAAGTGTTAAGACGCAAGCAAATGCGCGGAAAACAAAAAATAATAAAGATAAGAAACACACATGGCATTATAACAACAGACAAACATGAAATTAGAAATGAAATACACAAATTCTACGAACAACTTTATCAGTCTGTTATACCAAACAAAGATAGAGTACAAAAACACATCACAAACGTAGGATCAGAAGAGATGCTAGAAATATCAACCACAGAAATTAAATACGCACTTCAACAAATAAAAAATGGCAAAAGCCCAGGAGAAGATCGTATTACACCTGAAATGCTGAAGATGAGCGGAAAACCATTAGTGGATGCCGTGGAAGTATTGTTAAATAAATGTCTGATGGAGGGTAGAATCCCGGATGCATGGAAAAACGCAGAAGTTGTGCTATTATACAAAATAAGGAGATTTTACAAATATAGAGAATTATAGACCAATACGCCTTCTCTCGCATCTATACAAGCTCTTCACTAGGATTATCAACAACCGACTGTCTACGAAACTAGATTCCTATCAGCCCATAGAACAGGGAGGCTTTCGAAAAGGTTTTAGTACCATCGATCATCTACAAACAATTAAAACAGTCATTGAAAAAACAACAGAATACAATATACCTCTACATTTGGCCTTTGTAGACTACCAAAAAGCCTTTGACAGCATCGAAACCTGGTCATTTCTAGCTGCAATGGAGGACGCGAGAATTGATTCCAGATATTATTCCATTATTAAAAATATCTATGATAGTGCAACCTTCCAAGTTAAATTAGATGATGACCTCAAAACAGAAAAAATACTACTCGGCAAGGGCGTGAGACAAGGAGATACCATCTCTCCCAAGTTATTTACACTGGCACTGGAAAATGTCTTCAAGAAATTAGAATGGGAAAATAGAGGTCTAAACATCGATGGGGTACACCTTAGCCATCTGAGGTTCGCAGACGATATTGTCTTGCTGAGCACCGACATTCAAGAACTAAACACCATGCTAAATGAGCTAAATGACCAATCCCAGAAAATTGGCCTTAAAATGAACTTGAAGAAGACCAAGATAATGAGCAACAATATCCATAACATTACCGTTGACAACGTTATTATTGAAAACGTAGACCATTATATATATTTAGGTCATAAAATCAAGCTGGGCAAGGAAAACCAAAATACGGAGATCAAACGCAGGATCCATTTGGCATGGGTAGCATTTGGAAATATGAGCAATATTTTCAAGGATAAAAAGGTGCCCATGAACCTAAAGAAAAAGGCTTACGACAGCTGCATTCTACCTGTGCTTACGTATGGCTTAGAGACTATGGCAATTACCCGAAAAACAGCAGAACAACTACGAGTAGCACAAAGAGCCATGGAAAGAATCATGTTGGGAGTCACCATTAGGAAAAAATACGGAATACTCACCTACGTCAAAAACAAAATTAATAGAAGTCGTTAAAAGAGTGGCAAGTCTCAAGTGGCAATGGATAGGACATGTGGCAAGACAGGATCAGACCGATGGCCCCAAAAGCGCAATCCCTATGGAGACCAAGGGGGAACAAGAAGTGTGGGCCGACCAAAAAAGAGATGGGTCGATGACGTCAGGGCAGTGGCGGGAAGACAATGGATAAGATTGGCTAGAGATCGCGAAGCATGGAAAAACCTAGAAGAGGCCTATATTCAACACTGGATGGAACCAGGCTGAGAAAGAAGAAGAAGAAGAAAGATATTTAAATAAACATGCTACAAAATAATTAATTATCAACACCCTGTACATTTTCAGAATTAATTCTTGTGCTGAGTTTAAAGGTAAAGAAATAAACTTGACTATAAAAAATATTCCTTCCTTAAATTTATACAGGGGTATCAAAAATTGAGGGTCTATTTTAAATATTTATTTTAAGAATAAAAACTTCATTATTTCAAATACAACATCCTGTATTTGTTTAAATAAATCGAAGGAGATTCAAATGCTCTTTCAAACTATATTAGGTTTTCCTATACCTATCTAACTCAGATTTTGAATAAAGAAAACTTTGTTATTATAGCATGCATATTTAAATATCTTTAAATATCTCAAAAACTAAAGCTTTTAAACATATTAAACTCTTATAATAAATGCCTTATTTTATGTTCAAGAATCCAAAAATGAAATAAAATACCGGGTGTTCCACAAGAAAAAATATAACTTTGGTATGGATCTTAGTTCTGACACACCCTGTACATTTCAAAATAATTTTAAATTATGCACATTGCCTTCCCACATATAGCCATAAAATATTTTGTTTCTACATCTTTTCGTTTTCGTATAATCAACCGAGGCGAATGAGGTGCGCCACCCTGTATAGATGCAATACGACCGAAAAAAACGGCGTCGCAGTAACCTTTAGAGTCAAAAAATTAAAAAGTTTCTTAGATTTACCAATCATTTAGTTACAATTATTCAGTAAAAACTATTTTCCGAATATAGATTTTTGGTTCTAAAAATTTCTAACAAATTAGTATAAAATTTCGCCGTTTTTTTCATCATACAGTATATTTGATGTATATTTAAAAATGTACACTTTATCTGTTACAGCCTTTAATAATTATTTTATTTTTTTAATACGTTACACTATAATGCAAACATCCAGTAAGACAAAAAGAATACCTATATAATATAATTTCCATAACTTTCTAACTATGAAGGGTTTGTTATATTTTTTAATCCCTTATATTTATTTTTATTTTGAACTAAAATTTTATTTGTTTGTTCTATGCAATATTGCTATATGAAATACGATTTTAAATATAATATTTATTGTTTGGAACTGATAAAAATAAATCAGTATTACTATTAAAATGTATTTAAACGCTATTTAAATGCATCATAGAACTTTAAGAATATACAAATTCGTAGAAGAGCACTTTGGAACTTAATAATTTAAAGTTATTCTCCTTAATTTCTATAAGATTTTGATAAATATATTTTATTCAAAAAATTTCAATTTAGACTAGATGATGTTAAATATCTCTTAGAACTACTTACAGACATATAAGCGATACCAAATAAACGTTTAGCTAATCAAAATCATCTAAAGGTATTCACTTGCAACAAAACACTCCGAACAAACCAAACGCGCCGCGCACTCCAAACAATCTGCAACAAAACGTTTTCCGGGCGCGCTCTGACATTTTGCGCGGAGCGTTCCACCTGTTTGCGGTGTTCGCTGCGTTCCCACCAGTAATTAGTGTAGTGTATTTGTCGACATGGATGCATCTGATATTACCATAGAAAGAGTATAATGCTATCCATGTATTCATACAAAGTAGACGGACAAAGGGCCCTAGGGTTGGAATCCTTGACAGTTCTGTTTGACGATTCATTTGACACATTTGAATTTAATTTGAAATGTTGTGGATTTGTCAGTCTTTACCGAGCTTATTTTATCTTATTTATTATTTATTCTACTACTGATAGTTGTTATAAAATTCACTTAAGATTAACTAATTATATATTTTTTCTTGCATTTTTGCTTTTATTTAATACTTGTCAAAGATTAGATGTAAACGAATTTAGATACGTCAATTTGACTTACCTGCTTCAGTAGCGTATCGGATGTTTGTGTTAATAAATAATTATTATAACTTATTGACAACGTAAAATAAAACAACAAACTATTGAGTCTACCCCATGTCTACTACCCTACATCATATTTTACACGTTTTGAATAAAATTTTAACGGCACTGATAAATCGGAATTTAAGTCGGCCATTTTAAACGAATGAAGCTTTAGTATTTTCATTCAATGCAGTTTTTTCAATACTTCACACCCTGTATAATATACCTATCCTATAAAACTGTTTTTTTCTGGTTCTCATAAACTTACTTTAATTCATCCACTTTCTTACTGAAGACCAACTTCACAATTCCTTCAGAATTATCCTGCTCCGGTATGACGTTGTACCCCATAGCTTTAAACCGGTAAAAAGGATTTTGAGGCGTGTAGTCTACAGGAGGCTGAGTGGAACTATAGTAGCCCTTGCCTGTACCCCAACAGGCTTGAAGCATGTTCCATTTTTTCAAAATGTCGTCCCGTTCGTCGTTAAAAACGTTGATAGCGTATACAGAAGCTACAACTTGTTGGTTTTTGCTTTGGGGTGTTTGTGGAGTGGGCTGCGGAACTAGAATGTAGAAGGTTATTATTTTCTCATAAGAAAAACGATTAAAATGTCGCTTTGATGTACTCCTAGGTCCCTACCGTCGAAAAAGAAGGTCACACCACAGATTATACAGATCATAAACTTTGTTTTTTCTTTATTGTTTTTCGTGGTTCCAATTTTCGGAATCGGGCACTAGTTAGGTTACTAGTTTGCGCACATAGCACGCCCACTTATGGCCTGTAAAATTGTGCACAGCGCCTGACCGGCACAGTTATTAGAGAGATATCGGAAAACCGAATAGCGTCATGCAGTATTTACGCGTATCTTATCATGGTTCCGATATGCGCGAGTCAATTTTTAACGCAACGCCCGCTAATAAACGTTACCGCCTTACGTAATTTGCGGATCCATTACACCAACCGCTATTTCTAAATAACGTTTAAAAATTACTTAAATGGGCATGTGCGGTTATTTGACAACCGGGGCCGGCCGGCGGGATCTTTTATTTTAGGTTATGTTTGAATTGTTTTGAATTATTACTTTAGTTTTATTAGGTAATTTGATATTTAAGTAGCTGGAATTAGTTTTAATTAAATAAATATGGCCCAAAATATGGATTCCACCTCTTCCAATATTAAAGAACCTATAAAGAGGCTTAGGTTTAGAGCAGATGACGACTTAGCCCTTCTAAGAGAATTTGTTGCTTGTTGCCCTAAATCCACTGGCGGACGTTAAACAATAAAGCACTGGAAATAAGCACTTTAGCCCTTTAGTTTTAAAGTACCTAGTAAACAAAACAATTTCAAAGTTTTAAATTCAAAGTTAGGTTAAGTTTAAATAGCGGACGCGACGCGAACAGAATTCTTTCCGATCCGATAACTATAAATGAAGAGAGTTAATACCAAGTTAATACCACCTCACGTAAAGGAAATAACACCTGGCCTAATTAACGTCCATGCCCGCTATTCGGTTTAGCGATATCTCTATTACGCTGTTTATTGTTATTTTACGCGAGTTTATTTTTGCGCACAGGAAATTTGACTCGTTTGCACATATAAAACAATTTTCGTACCACGAATTAGGAACAAGATTTTTATCTGTATACTTATAGGGATACCTAATCTGCGGTCACACATACCGTAAGGTGACGTGGAATATTTGATACGTCATCCAAGGAAGACGTTTTTCGGACAAAAGAATTTTTTCGGGCAAAAAACGGTATAAAAATGTGCATTTATACTCAAACTACAAAATTTGAAAAAGCTCACGTAAGATTATGGGAGGGAGGATGTCACAAAAATGTACTGTTTTAGAAGCAATACAAAAGATGGTATTTTATGCGCATCTCTGGAAATAGAGGCATATTCACAGCAAATTATTCAGATAAATCAATAAAAAACTGGAATAACGGAATTTGTTACAAAGTAGTTTTTGATTTTATTTTTTTTATATTTATGTATGTAACTTTTATTATATTATATATTATATATATATATATATATATATATATATATATATATATATATATATATATATATATATATATATATATATATATATATATATATATATATATATATATATATTTTTTTTATTCTTTCTTTGACCTCTCAATATATATTTTATTTAATTTTTTTCTTGGCTTTAGGTCAGGTAAAAATGCGAAAAACGGTTTTTTTTATATTAAATATTTCATGACGTTTCGACCTGGTAGGGTCTTTATCAAAATTTATTACTTGAACGTAGATTGTTTACTTATTACAACTTATCATTTTCTTGTGTATGTCTCTGTGCAAAAATTGTGACGACTTTATTGATATGTTTGTGTTATATTTGTGGAACCCAATTTGGATATATGTTCTTCGCTAAGATTTCAGAAAGAAAATGATAAGTTGTAATAAGTAAACAATCTACGTTCAAGTAATAAATTTTGATAAAGACCCTACCAGGTCGAAACGTCATGAAATATTTAATATAAAAAAACCGTTTTTCGCATTTTTACCTGACCTAAAGCCAAGAAAAAAATTAAATAATATATATATATATATATATATATATATATATATATATATATACTATTATACGATATATATAGTACGATTTTTTTTTTTTTATGTATGTAACTTTTGAGATAATATGTAATTCATATCATGGCTATTTTACGGTGAGATACCAATCTAAGGGATTTTTTTAAATTCCTATCCCTAAAAAAATCAGTAAAGTAAAAGTTTTAACACAATGAATAAAGTGTGTAATTATTAAGAGTTACGCCTATCGCCTCCTTTCAATGACGTCACTCGTTAAGTCGTCCGGCCTTTTATTCTCGACGGTACCAGCCTTGAAAAAAAACAAATTACAAATTCTTACCTCCTGCTTGTGGTGGTTTGGCTCCAAACAATCCCGTTCCAGTACTGCTTATTCCAAATCCTCCGAAACTGCCGGTAGTTCCAGTACCGAAACCACCAAATCCCGCGGTGCTTGTAGTGGTAGTTCCAAACGTCGAAGCACCAAAAAGTGACGGTGCGGTACTTTGGGCTGTACCGAATAAGCCTGTACTACCAAAAGGAGCGGCTGTGGTGGTTTGCTGGCCAAAAGAAGTACCGAAAAGACTTGGAGTGGTTGTAGTGGGTTGTTGGCCGAATAATGAAGGTTGCGCAGCTCCTGCACCTAGTGTAAGTTACAAAAATACCTTAAAATTGGAAATTTTCGCGTTATTGGTAACGCCGCATTTACAAGAGGATTCTATGAATGCTACCCGACCAAAGAAGTAAAAACAGATGTAGATGTTACGAACTAAATTAAGTGTAGTAAAAAAAACGCAATAAAATGTACAACAAACAATATTATTTTTAATAATTTGATGTAAAAATGGTGTAAAAATTCGTTCTTACCAAATAAACTGGGGGTACTCTGTGATGTTTGTACCCCACCAAACAAGCTAGGAGTCGTTGTAGGAGCGCTACCAAATAACCCTGTAGTGGAAGTGGCTGGAGCTCCAAAAATACTAGGTTTTGTGGTTGCAGTCCCAAATAAACCTTAAAAACCAAATTAGCACAAAAAGAATGGCATGTTTAACTATAAAGACCAGGAGATATAGAGGTATATATAGAGCTCAAACTTTCACAGTATTTTTTTCGTTAACAATTTCAATATAACAGTCTAATGTATATGTGCTACCTCTATATCTCTGATAAAAACCCCCGTAAATGAAGTCTACCAACCTGTACTTTGCGTTGGTGCGCTACCAAACCCGAAAGATGGCGCGTTCGTAGCCGGTGCTCCGAAAGTACTGCCGAAAGCAGGGGTAGCGCTAGCGGCGGGGGCACCGAAAGTACTACCGAAGGCTGGCGGAGCGCTGGTGGTCGGTGCGCCAAAAGTAGAGCCAAAAGCGGGAGCAGGTTGGGTCTGGCCGAATCCAAAAGCTGTAGATTGGGTCGTGGTGGCTGGTGAACCAAAAGTGGTACCAAATCCTGGAACTAAAGATTATTTATTTAAATGCGATATCCCTAGAGCTGTTTACAGACTAAGCCGACAAAAGATTGAAAATAAACTCACCGGCAAAAAAACCGGCCACCAAAAACTAGTCCCAATTTCAAAATTGGATTTCTAGCTAACCACCCATTAGATTTTGATGTTTTTTTTTTTAAATTGTAAATTAATTCCTTCTTAACGGATGCTACGTCAGAAATTTTCATTCCGAATTTATTTTGGGCATATACAGGGCACAACAACAATAATTTGTTACATCACTAAAAATGGCTTCTTTATTATTGACAAAATGAGGATGTTTGTTGGTGATATTGTTGATAAATTCCCTAGCGGCTATGTGTTCTTCATTGTTAAGGTGCTCTTCCAGGAAACAGCGGTCCAAGAGTTTCGCGGCAAAATGCATTGGTTTAAGAGCCATACGTTTTCTATTTTGTAAGGCGGAGAAGCATTCTTTTTCTTCTGATTTAAGAATAGGCATACTTGATACACTTTCCTTAAATTTTTAGTAAACCAAATTTCTTACAAAATTCAGATTTTTGCGAATATTCGCGATTTTGGGACCGAATATTTCGGAAATTTCTGAAATTTCCTGCAAAATTCGAATGGAAATATTCGCTACCAACATCACTAGATGGGACCTCTAGAAGATCATAAAAAATCTTGAATAGAAAAAAATAATGAATATATTATTTTACAAACTATTATCCTTGTTTGTATATATACTGAAATTAAAAAAAATAATTATTACATTAATGACTGTACCACACTGTAATTTACACAAAACTAATTAAAATACATTTATTTTTACCTGTTATCACTGACTCACAAGCATTTAAAAAAGTGCAATTTAAAATACACCTTGAAAATAAATTATGCTAAAAAAATCGCCAACAAAACTTGATAACACCATACTTGCCATACCAAAATCGTATTTTTTTTTTGTACTCAAGGTTCAAAACACATACAACATGGATTTTATAGTCGACATGACCAATAAAATCAAAGAATTCTTTATTCCAAAGATGGTAAAGAGATGGTACATAGTGAGTAACTACCTTAAATGTTCTTAATTCTTTTTTAGGAATCTACTGAAAGTACTTTTGCGCCTCAGAAATTAAGTCCAATAACATTCGAGATCACTGCAAAGGCTTTTACACAACAGATGAAGAGAAATAGTAATGTTGGAGATATAACACCGATTCAACCGGCAGAGGAAGTAAACAAAATAATATCTCAAATAATAAACACGTTTAATAGTGATGCTAACTTTGCCGATGGTCCTAAGAAACCTCTGATTCCAATGGCAACTACACCAATCACTACAATGCGAACTGTTCAGAATAACATTACAAAAGCTGTGTTCAATGCTAGTGAACAGATATCTCAAATAATAAACACGTTTAATAGTGATGCTAACGTTGCCGATGGTCCTAAAAAACCTCTGATTCCAGTGGCAACTACACCAATCACTACAATGCGAACTGTTCAGAATAACATTACAAAAGCTGTGTTCAATGTTACTGAACAGATGTCCAAGAATAAAAAAGAAACAGGCTTTTTCAACGCGTATATTATTGCTGCTGTAGTGCTCATTGTCCTTTCCGTAATATGTTTAACAGGTACAGTTATACATAAAAGCAGAGCCCTGAAGAAGTTGAAGAATTCCAATGGTAAATATAACGTTTCCCAAGGGAAGAA